GTATTCATTTCAGTTGATGCACTGATTTCCATATCTGTTCATCACTAATTCTAACATGAAAATGGAAATGCATTCTGCACTATTTTAGTGTCGCCCTTGCTGTGTGTTCAGTTCTGCTGGAAGGTGAACAAACACATTCAAGTCTTCTGAAGCAGCTAACTTTTTTTTTTTTTTAGTATAGACACATCTTCAGCTGTGTCCATTTTTCCTTCACTTCTGACCTGCTCCTCTGTCCCTGCTGGAGACAACGTGCCCGCATGGGAACTGTGCTTCTTCCTTCCTGCCATGTTTTGCTACTTTTGCAGCAGGATCTTTCTCTTCCCGTTTCCAGATGATGGATGGAACAATGCTCTGTTCCATTAGGTGTTTTTGGCTTTTAGGAAAAAATATTTGAACTATCAAAGAGTAATGAGGCTGTGCCTTACCAGAGCCACCAAACTCAAAACATTTCAGGACTTTTTGGTAAAATCTCAAAGTCTGAGCTATTCCATTTTTCTGAGATGTTAGTTTCTAGTATCTTCTTCTTGTTTATTACAGCCATGTGGCGTCCTCATGATCACATTATGCTTTGTGTAGCTTGGTTGATTTGCCCAAGTCATTAGATGGAAACACGGCTAATTCAAGTTTTTTTTACTTGTTTGAAAATTTGCTCAAAATTCACATGACAGTTGGATAGAAACACTGTATTTAAATTTGATGTCTGGAAACTTTTCATCTCTATGCCTCTCACCTGTCCAAAACAACCAAGAAAATATTTTTTTCTTAATTTTATTTAGGTTGTGTTCAGCTTGACACTAGATAGCTAACTGCTATTGGGTTCATTTATTTTAAAAACTGTTGGCTGCTAAAGTTGTCTGCCTTCTTTCTTCATTTGCTCATTGTGAAGCTATAACGGTTCTCTATGTTCTTCGATGAAGCGCTGAGGCCTTCATGGAACAGCTTGATTTATACTGAGGTTAACTTTCACAGTTACACAACTTCAGCAAGTCATTTATTGCTTTGGGTTTCTACTTAGGGGTATCATATTAAAAGTGGTTAGAATAAAGATGGATTCCACAGTTTTTAGATGTTTAATCCTAAACAAATATGCCAAATATTATTTTCTCCCCACTCTACCACTTTGTGATAAAGTAGATAACTGGAGTTTCTGGTTGTGAACAGATTAATGGAATGCAATATGAAGAGCTTCAGTGTTTAATCAGCATTCTATTTGGATCGGCTGATGATGATGCAACAGCTGCAGAGCGGTCGTCTAGCAGGCCCTCTCTCTTAACTCTGTTTTTCAGGCCCAGAGTGGTTCAGGAATGACTTTGCAAGTTTGAACAATTTATATGGAAATCCGCCTGAAAAAGTCCTCAGGTTTGGGATTCCCAGAAACGGTTACCATGTTAGGAAAGAAAACCAATTTAATTTAAGGTAATGGTAAAGATGTGGTTAGTCTTTTTATCCTTCCCCCTCTGGAGTTATAAGTCTTCTTAAAAGTTTTAATAGGTGAACTTGTTTTGTGAATTGCAGAAATAACGACTTTTTTCTCCCCTTTAATTTGCAAGAACAGGTAAAGGAAAACCCCCTGTCCTTAGCTAGAAGATACTTCACACTACAGCTCTGACTTTATACCAACGACTGAAACAGACTTACAGATTTTTTTTTTTCACATTGTGAGCTTATAGTACTTTTGAAAAGTATTCAAATGATTTTGCTGAGACATTAGTCCTGAAAATGTTCTTCAAGTGACAGAAGGCTGATTTGTGCAACTGTCTATATGCAGCTCACAAGATTCAGGTCAGAGGTCATCACTACTCCCAGGTTTCATACCTGATTGTTGGTTTTTAGTGATAATAACTGAAGTAGTGTGTTTACTCTAGATCTATAACTTTAGATCTATAACTCTAGATCTATGACACTAGATCTATGACAATAGTGTCACTGGTGTCTATGACACTAGTGTCATAGATATTGTTCTTTAGGTTCATTCTTCTTTAGGTTCAAAGATAATATCTTCACTTTTCTTTCTGTTCAGTAGGAGAACGTTTTGGCACGTCTACACATTTATCTGTTCTAAGCATCTCTTCCGTGATTGGATGGTTTGGAGTCAAATAGTGACATCATAATGTAGAGATGTGTATCATCTGCATAGTTATGATAGTTTATCTTATTTCCTGTTATAGCCTGAGTTAGTGGGAGTATGTAGATATTAAATAAGATAGGCTCTAGGAGTGAACCTTGGGTAACCTCATATGTGACTTGAAAGGTTTCTGACAAAACTTAAAAATTGCTTTTCAGAAATGCTCTTGATCCAATATGACTCAACTTGACCTGTTTTTGCAAGGAAGTTTACGAGAATAAAAGTGATTGTGAAACTTTTGTTGGAATAATTGTATATAAGTTATCCCATGTATTGTTGTTTCTTGTATGTTGAGTTGGTGCGGCCCTGAGTGTGAAGTGGGTGCAAGAGTCGGTTTAACAGCGGGAGAGGAAGAGCTGTAAAGATCTCAACCAGATGGCTTTAAACTATTTAGTGCAGGTCAAGAGGTCGCACCAGCAACCAGTTCTTGTTTTTCTTACTATGTATGTTGGAATGTGTTTACCCTGTTACCCTGTCCCCTATAGAGGCTGTGACTTTCATGTAACCAGGGTGACCTAAGGAAATAAAAGGCGTTGAGAGCCAAGACGTACTCAGAGTGTGTTGGAGATTGTAACTGATGTACGTCTCTGGGGCACTCTCCTTGCGAGTAAAACTTAACTGATGTGTTCTGTCTTTCTTTCCAGGTAGTGTTTTACTAATGTTAGGGGTTTAAACCTGACAACTTTATAGAAATGTATCCTAACATACTTTCACCTGTAATTACAGGAGAAGATGCTTGCATTGAATATGGCTGCATTGAATGCAAATAAATGCCATACTTTTTTGATTTGGATTCATAAAATGAATTATGCTTTACAGAAAAAAAGGGATCTTGCATTAAACCCCATTAAAATACAGTAAGGTTTGTAGCATGACAAAACAAAAAAGAAAAATGTAAGAAACAGTCTGATCTATGAGGAAGAAAACACATCTTCATCACCTACATACAAGGGCAAGTCAGTTGCTACACAAACAGAAAGTGATGGGTGTCACTTGAGTGGAAACCACTATTTCTCTAGGAAACAATTACATTAATACTTTGAGTGAAATTAAAAACCTCATTGCAGCAGCTTCCTTTAATGATCTGGAAAGTAAAAGATATTAGCAAATACCCAGTGATAACACTGCCACTGCATCGGCCATGTCCTGTTTATGGCACGTTCTCCTTTCCAATCAAGTGTTAAATGGGAAAATGAAATTTGAATATTAATGCTCTTAAGGGAGTTTTGACATTGGGCAAATACAAAGTGCCTGAAGTACCACATTGTCCTTTTAATGCTAAATAGTGTTATTATGGCATTGTTGGCAGGAATCCCACAGATAAGACATTGGACTGCCACAATATGGGGAAGCTGAAGAAAGATTGATTTTCTTTTAAATGAGCCTGGAAGACCTAAGAAATTCATATAATATTGATAAAGGGCAGGATGGTGAAGAATTTGGGTAATCTGTGTAATTCTCTACACTCTGTGACATTGAGAGAACCATGTTTTATAGGAAATAAAGCAAGAGGAAAGTGACCTTCATCTTAATAGGAGAAAATAGTTTGGAAAAAGCTGAGAAAAAAAATCCAATAACAAGATAAAAACTCAGTTTTTAAAGTGATTACATGGAGGAGTTAAAGGGTGAGGGACAGACTTGCTCATGTTGGCTTGGAACTGCTTGCAGTTCTAGATGTTTTTACGCCAGAATAAGGTAATGAATTTATACATGGTTTTTACACAATAATCTTTTCCAAAATCAATCTGCAAAGTTGAGATTTGCATATGTATTCAGTCCCCTTTAATCTGTGACCCCTAAATAAAATCCAGAACAGCTAACTGCCTTCAGGACTTCACCTAATTCACATGTGTATAATTTAATCTCAGTAGAAATCCAGCTTCTCTGTGAGGATTAGTGGGAAAACTGTAAATCGAAGACCCAGGGACACAGCAGTCATCCCTTACCTGTCATGTTGTGGCACTTCGGGCCAATGGTGACTTAGTGTTGGAGTGTGAAGCTGAGTTAAGTTGTAAAACAACATCTGAAGCTGTGATGTCAACTTTGTAAAATCAATCATTTGAGAATCGAAAGAGCGCAGCAGACCTTTCCTCTATGACACTAGATAATGTTCAGACTTATGGCAAGGAACAGTTATACCCCTGCTCTATGTGCTAGAGTGGAAAAAACAGGGACCACAGCTGTGGATCCTATGCTGAAGTTTGTCGAGGCAGGACTGATTAGTGGACTTTATCAGCGGATAGTTTTATCCGAAGAAGCCATGACAAGTAACTGAAGCATATTCATCTGGTAAAATGGTTCAGCCAAAACCAAAGACCTTAGTCCAGTTGAAAATTGATGTTCGCAGACTCCATCAAATCTGACAGCTAATTTTATAAAGATGGATGGGCATAAAAAGAGACAAACCTAAACTCTTCTCAATGTTTATTTTCCTTAAACTTCACAAAAAAATAAGAACTCAAAGTTTGTGGTTGTACGACTACAAAATCTGAAAAAGTTGAATATGTCTGACTCTGAAGAGCCATTAAAGAAAAATAACTTCTTGACTTGTTTGCTGCTGAGATGACTCATTGCTTTTAGAATAAATATCATACACATTTTCCTATATGCAAAAAAGATTTAACAGTGAAGGCAGTTTGATATCAAACACATTTCTATTTATACCATCTGACTAAGTGCTTCCGTAAAAGCTGTCAAGCTGCTTTTGCATGGCAGAAGTGAGAAGTCAGTGGTTTCAGGGTTTTCAAATATGTCAGCACAGAATTGTGAGCATTTACATTTTTTCAGTTGCCCTATATACTTTCATTTTTCTGCTTCTGTTTGTTTAGATGTTTAAATTTTGTGTTGATGCAGAGAGAACACAGAAGCCTCTTACTGGGGTCTGACAGGATGGAGTCTGTCTTGGGCAGGAACTGGTCACACCGGATTCCTTGGTAACCTTCGCGACACCTGGTGGACAAAAAAAAGCAAGCAGTCTTTCAGGGCACTGATCTTAACTGGAGGAGGTTGTTGTTGTTGGTCAGTGAATCCCAAATCCAAACACCTTGGAGAGAAATTCAGTTCAATGACATAAATGATCATGAAGGGAAAACACAAGTTGTTGCAGGTCAGTCTTCAAAGGGCATCAATGGTTTTAGTTGTATCCTCTCTAAAGAACCTCATGTCTGGAGATGTTTTCTTCAGACATAATATCCTTTAAAATCAGACATTTTTTAATGATAGCAAGATACTACACCTGCATTAATTTCCTAGCTCTGGCAGTTAAATGCTCCCATCAAGCTGATTACAGAAGATTGGGAGCATCTTTCTGAAAGCACTGAAGGTCCCAAGTTTCTTCAAGAAATATAATCAGACTTATTTCAGTTTCTCCTGAAAAACATAATCATGTCTCCTTCACTTTCTGGATGAAATAAATGTTCCAACGTGAAGTCATTAAGCAGTACAGCAGCTCTGCCTCCTCAGCCTCTTGTCTCTGTCTTGTATGTACAGATTCCACAGAGTTTCTTGCAGTGAACGTCCGAGACCAACAGAGTGAGAGAACAGACCTCTGTGGGGTTCCAGTGCTGCTGGACACTGGGTCGGACACAGGACCCTTTCATAACCAGTTTCATAACCTTTAGTCTCATTCAGCTGAATCTGAATCTGCATGAAGAGATGTTAACCCCTCCAAATGTGCGTCAATAAAGAAGTGCACATTCTAAGAGTTTTGAACAGTCCTCTGAATTTGAGTGGCAAATTAGGAATAAAAGAATAACCATTAAGTACCTAATGAGTTCTGAAATGCACTCAGTCTGTCTCTGAAAAAGCATGTTTTTTAATAAATGTCAGTTCAATAAATATCTCCTGATCAACAAATAGCCTGAGTGTTACGAAGCACGGGAACAGGGCGCAGGTTTAAACTAAGTGCAGTGTGAAGCCGCAGCTTGTTTGCATATTGGTCGTTGCCTCTGGCTGTTTGAACCTTGGCCTTCCCGTCTCCCTGCTGTTAAAGCTGCAGGTCTCACATATGAAAATAGACTTAATATGCAGTCTGCTCTGTTTTACTAAGTCTCAGATCTTACCTCTGTTTGAACTGTTTCTTTATTTCACCTCTTCATTTCTTTTGGCTTCACAAACACACTGTGACTTTCTTTTTTACCAGATAAAGACAAGAGAAGAAGCCCTGACAAGACTCTCAAACACTTAGAGATTCATTGAAGAAAATAACACTTTCAATTTGATCATTTTTTTCAGAATGGTAATGATGACCTTTTTGTGATCCATCCATGGCAAGTGACTTTTAATCACATCGAGTCTCCAAATATCCTTTTTTGAAGAAAAAAAAAGGATATTTGGAGACATAAGCTGATAACAAAAGCTGTGACTTTAAATGTGAGTCCAAACAATAGACACGAGACACTAACTATAAATATGTTTCATTTTAAGTCAGCAGGGTGGAGACCAGGTGAGCAACATGATGAGGACTAAATGAAAAGAGAAATAGATGTCTGTGCAAGCCAAAGATTTAAGATTTAAATTCACAGATTATTTTATAAAAACTCAATAACTCTACATGTGAAAACCCCCAAAAAACAAATTGCCTTGATAAACACTTTAGTCCCAGCGTTAGCTTGTAATTACAGGTTAGCAGTATAGAGTTTAAGTCAGATATTTACCTGCACTGTATAAAAACATACCTTTTCCTCACTGACTGACATGAAAACAGATTAAAATCTTCATGTTGTTTTGTTAAATTAGGATTGTTGACATTTTAATTAAAGTTCTTTCTGCTTCACTGCCTGAGACAGGAAATAAAGGAGCAGAATCTTATACGAAAGAGAAGTATTTTTGTTTTGAGACTCAAAATGATATATTAAAATTCTTTCCTCTGACAGATCACAACTTCTCACTCTGTCCAGATGACAAAGATCCAACAAGATATTGCTGTTCTGTTACAGCCTTTCTTGTTTAAACAGGAACATTTTTGGGTTTTTAAAAGATATGGAATCTGTTAAAACCAGACAGTTTGTAATTATAACAACATATTGCTGTCGTATTTATTTTTTAGATATGGCAGCTAGAATATGCTTGCATATTAAAGCCATAAAACAGAAAGAGGTAGAGAAAAAGAGAGAGAGAAAGAGAGAGAGAATTTTTTATACTCTTTTCAAAACCAGAAATTAATCATAATTGAGTTTTGCCAATACTGATGTAATTAATTGCAAGTTATTTTATAATCATAACATCAACAATGTATCTCCACTTATAAGGTTGAACATAATCTTACAATAAGGTGAGATAATTCAGTGGTTGCAATAGTCAAAAAAAAAGCAACAACAAAACAAACAAAAAAAAAGTCATTTTTGCTTGTTCATATTTGTTCCACTGCTGTCTGTAAAATTGTAAAAAGCATTTTAGAGTCTTGCTGTTTGTAGTTTTCTGGAGCACAACACAAACTCGACATTATTTCCAGTAAATATATTAACTTGTCATTAGCAACCCAGTGGGACGGATCAACCGGGAGTTAGATGGACAGGGAGAGCCTGACTGAAACCATTTGGATGTCAGTCAATCTCTGAGGCTGATTATGTGTCTCTGCTTATTTGGAATCCCAAATATGCAAATTCAAGTTCAAAACAAGCTCAATAAACTGCAACCTGTGACTCATTAAATTTGCAAGCAACTTTAGAAAATACAAGCCCAAAGTCGGTTATAATAATCGGACTATCGTGACTTATTTTGTCCAGCAAAATAGAAACTATTTTGAGTTTCTATTTTGACAGAAACTCAAAATAGTTCCTGTTTTTCCAGGAACAAAATGAGCATCTCCCTACTCTCTCCATTCTGTATGTTTCTGTGGCGGCGTGCAATCAGCTGCTGTTAACTGTCACATAGAAACACACAGAGAAAATTAAATTACATTACCAGAGAAAGTGACAAAAGTAGCAATGCAGTGATTTGGATGACTAACTTTAATCTGAGATTACTCATTACTGAAAAACCTGACTCGATTAGAATAAGGCGTTACAGTAATGTGTCACTGACATCACTGATCAGAGGATCCTGAAGGAAACATCTGTCTGGGATATGTGGCTACCGGGATACGGAGCAGAACATTGAGAACTCAAGCACACCAGCAACTCCACTTCTTTGGAAAAGATGAAGACTTTCAAGGGGCCTAGTCCAAACCTGCACTTAAGCCAATTTAATGTGTTAGAGTCTGTGAATGTTCAAAAGTGCTCCAATGATTAATGGGACAGAACACCTTCACAGCAATATTCAACACCCCTAGTTCTCACCAAAGGCTATTCCCAGTTACTAGGTTTACTGAGCAATTACTTTTTCACAGGTTAATTTGAATGACTTTCATCTTTTATTTATTTATGTTTGGATCATTGAAAATATTGAAGCTTTACTATAAAGTAATACCAGAATAAATCTGGCATAATCTTGTGAAATCTTGGTATAGTGTTCACCAAGAGTTTAAGTTCTTGGTAAATTGCTTGCAAAGAGGAGGGAATGAATGTTGGTCAGGTGGATCTGGTAGAGACACACACCTGCCCTGCACAGGATGATGATTTGAGCATTTAAATGGTGGATATGGTTGTCATTTTGTTGTTCTTCACTAAACAACTGCTGCCATTCATTTTCATCTCAGCATTCCTAGTGGATCGAGGCTCTACACTGTAGATGTTGGAGCAGTTTTAGATGTTTTCTATTGAAAGCAGGATGTCACTTCGTTGCAGTCAGATAATACAGAGTGGTAGCTGACACTAGTTTCCTAAAGGCACCAGTCGACATTAAATTCACAATAGAACGACTCAAATTTCAAGAAGAATGCTAAACACCCACTATAGTCACCTAGAGGGATGAACTGACTGCTTCCCTTACTGCATAAAAAGCTTTTCTCTGTCACATCAGCTGGCTGACAGATGATATCAACCATGTTGCTAAAAAGGCCTGAAAAAAATCTTACAATTTATCAGAATGTCTGCAGACCAAGTTAGCTGGTTTCAGCTGTTAGAGACATTAAGATGTTTATTGACAAAGATTAGAAAAAATTAAATTAAATGTTGGTGTGAAGGATTACATTTGTTAGCTCTTTGCTTTTTAATGATCACTAGTGTCTTTAACTTTGAACTGAACAGCAGTACTAAACATCCACGAGGAGAATACGCAAATCCAATCAAACTATTGGACTCAATCCCAGGATCCTCTGGACTCAATCCCAGGATCCTCTGGGTGGAAGAGCACTAATAACTGCACCATCATAATTGTAACTAGTAGGCAAACATATTCTTCTTATTGTATGGCCTTAAACACCAATAAAATTCTAATTCTAGTGTTATTATGACTTATTTTGTCCAGCAAACTCTTTTCTTTCTAAAATATCTTTTCACATATATCACACACCTAGTATTCCTAATGGGCAGGCACAGAAGGGAAAAAAACACTTCTCAAAGTTAAGAGATGGAAAGCTGATAATAGGTGAGAGACTGTTGAAGGGTATGAAAGAGTTGCACAGTCTCTAATTAGCAGCACAGTCATTAATTAAAGACGAACAGAATTAGAACGCCCAGGGAGGAACGTGTTTGAGCAAAAGGTTAAATGTGAATCTTCCTCAAACCTGCCGAGCAGAGGCTAAATATAGGCATAGCGTGCGCATACACACACACACACACACATACGCACACGCACGCATGCAGACACGCACACACACACACCTACACACATACACACATGCACGCATACACCTGTTTGCCAGTGAGTGTATCTGCCCATAATACAAATATCAATTCAAATTTGCTGATGATTTTACTAATGTTCATACTTTTTCAGAAAGCCAAAGACTGTTAAAAAGCTTTTACTGAAATGAGGAAGTAAATTCAAATTTTCATTTCCATCAACTTTTCTTTAATGTAAAACTTCAAAATGCGCATTCATCAAGATTGAAAAATGTAAGAACACTT